AGCCATCCGCGTCAGCGTGAAGAAACATATCCGTCCAAAGAATAATCCTTTTGTCTGGAGAACGAAGCTCGGCTGGAGCTGGCTACTCTGACACGGTTGATCAACTGATATATGCTAATTAAAGGTTCTGGCATTCAACCACATATGTGCAAGTGGGCATATAACAGTCCCTGAAGCGGATTCAGGGCCGGTTGCCCTGAAATTGAGCATGGCCAAGACTTACCACGCAAATTAAAGGCAAATTCGGACCTGCACTACATACACTAGCTGTGATTGATGTCTCACCTTAGTTCCAACGACATGGGCGTATACTAATCTGCGGTGCAGGGATTTGTCGCCCTCCGTCGTAGAAGCTGCAGTTTTACGTTTTGGTCTACTAAGAAATCATACCTACTCTGCGAGATAGCCCTGCAATGTCGAGAGCATAAGAGCACAGGGAACCGACACTGCCCTACATGGTGTCACTTATTGTCGCAGCTTCCCCTTGTGCGGGACCGCGGCAGCCGAGCTAACCCTAGGCGCGAGCAATTGACTCGACAACTTACTCGGCTGGAGGATAGTCGCCTGTTCAGGACCGGGAAATGCCACGAGCCAAGGGCACTTAGTTCTTGATCCAGAGGCACGCTTTGCCTACTTTGAAGTACTTTAGTGGCATCGATTGTGGAGCAAAATGTAGTCAGCGGAAGTTCGGAAAATGACTAAACTGATAGGAGTAACTTGTAACGCCCCAAAACATGGATAAGCTCACAACCGTCATCAAGCCTGCATCGTACCTACGTCAGTAGCGTAGTCATTGCCGCTTTTATCATTCATTTTGCTCTGTGGACCCTCGTTGCCGGAGTGATACCGTGGAGGGTTAACTGGTGCGCAGATCTGTCAGTCTCAACCCTCGAGCCGAAGATGATCGGCAGGAGGCCACGCCAGCTTTCCCCATCAACAGTCAGAAGTGTATCGCTACCACAGCCGCCACCCCGACCTCCCAGAACAAGCTCCAATGAGGGCTCCTTGACCTCATGTGGCTGGGACCCTTTGACTTTGCATCATTCTGCGTTTCAGGGCAGGGCTGACTGCCTGGTCCTTAATTGCAACACCCTGGAGAGCGACAGGGTCCAGGCGCTTTGGGTAGGCACCACGGAGTCATGAGTTATTTTCGAATAATTGATCTGCTATTCAGAGTCATCAAAGCACATGGTATCTGCGTCGAAATTGAGTTAACAGGAGGCTTGCATTCGGGGAAAATCCATCGCGCAGCATCGCTACCACGCTGGCGACATGGTGAATGACAGTTCTCCTACTACTTTTGTACCGGCATTACCTAAACACAATAGAAATTCACGATTCCAGCCTTGCAGGTCGTCCGGTGGAATCAAAATTGTGGACACTGTTGAGTCAATGTGGCCAACACGGCCGAACAGTTAGCTTCAGCCCACGTCTGGCCCAGGCACAGGCGAAGAGCAGCAGCGTTTCGCTTCCATTGTCGACAGGATTGTCCCGAGATGTCTCTCTGATTGGACATAGATTATCGATCTGATATCCCACGACCAGTTTTCTCCAGGGATGGCTGGAGGGATGATCGACACAGCCTGTTCTGGTCCCACCTTCAAGTGCCGATCAGTCACAGACAACTCACCAGGGACCCAGATACAGCGGAAAACGTGCAGTGTGGCTGGTACAATGATACAACAAGACATCCTCTCAGGCAATACTGAAACTGTTGTGACTTCACTGAGATTTCCTGTTTCTCTGGATTGCCGCATTATCACCTCCACGTCACAACATGCTCTCAAACGCTGCCAGTGCCCCTTGCACTGGCTGCAAAGCTTAGACTATGGGCATTCAGCAACAATGTATTCCAATTGGTTTGGTCATGAGCCGTCCTCGCTGATCGCTCCACTCGGCAACTGAGGACCTGGAGTGGCCTAACCTCGCAAGCAAACCCCCATGGTACCTCGACGGTGCCGAACTCGGAGAGAACCATTCCAGGTGCTCTGTAACCTACTAACCTCCCACGTTGAACGATGATCCTTCCTCAGGAAGGTGTATGGCTAGGCGTTTCAGGGCAGCTGGGCACATTATTAAAGACTGTCTCTGTCCGCTCCTTGTGATAACATCCTCACAGCCCAATCACTCTGGAATCAACACTCAAAAGTCATTCTCTCTTCCATATCTTAATTTCAAAATGAAGCTTACCGGAGCTGTCTTGGCCAGCCTTGTCGGCTGCGTCGCTGCCCTGCCCCCGGCGCCTTTCTTCAACGGCCCTCCTCCTCCCTCTGGCTCCGTGGCTCCTGCTCCTGAGGAATCTTCTTTCCCTCCTCCGCCTCCTCCCAGCTCCGTCTCCGGTGCTCCTCCCTCCGCGACCCCCGAGCCCTACGAGAAGCGCCAGTTTGGTGGCCCCCAGCCTTCCGGTCCCCCCGCTGGTCCCTCCGGTTCTTTCGGCCCCGCCCCCTCCGGCTCTCCTGAAGGATTTGGTAGACGTCAGTTCGATGGCTTTGGCGGCTTCGGTGGTCCCTTCGACTCTGCTCCTTCCGCTACTCCCTCCGCCTTCCCCGGATCCAGCTTCGGCTTCGAGGAGCGTCAGTTCCCCGGTCCCGTTGAGTCCGCCCCCGCTGGGCCCCCTCCCTCCGGCACTCCTTCTCCCGTCCCATTCGGTGACTTCGGTGGCTTCGACAAGCGTCAGTTCGGTGGTGTCGTCCAGTCTGCCCCCGCGGGTGTTCCCTCTGGTGCCCCCGGCCCTGCCCCCTCTGAGGGCCCCGGAGGATTCGGTGGCTTCGGAGGCTTCAAGCGCCAGTTCGGATCTCCTGCAGAGGGACATGAACAGGGCCCTGATGGCCAGGCTCCCCCCTTCCCCAGTGGCGTCCCTTCCTTCGCTCCTTCCCCGGTGCCTACCCCGTCGGGTGCCATTGAGGAGCGCCAGTTCGGTGGATTCCCTACCCCGACTCCTGTCCCCAGCGGCCCCGCTGGTGGCTGGTAAGCAGCTCATATCATCGATATGGGACACGGTGATCCACGTGCAGCATAGCGCTTAGGTGTGCTGCAGGTATGGAACTATGTAGTCACAATGTCGAGAAATAGGCTCGCTGTGCTGCGAAATGTATATGGTGGACTTGAAGGCTTGAATATATGTGTTATGTGAATTAATTCTGCTTTATGTGTTGATGTCTTTCATTCATGGTACTTTTGGCCAAAAATGGTCCGTGCATGTTCCTAAAGATTCAACAATGTAGAACATATCTTTTTGCAAATATATAATGCGGCTACTGCAGTCACTCACACCAGAGACTGTAACGGAGATTGTAATGATCTTCTTGGCTGGGATTGGGGCACATGAACCAACCAATTCAAGTTAGAGTTTCCGAGCTTTTAAGATCCGTAGCTAAAATGTGTAAATCGGACTAACCTAGTGCTCATTGGTGCGGTCCTCTTTTGGGCCAGGAGCTGCTGCGCGAATGCCCAATGTTATCACCGAAAACCCCACATCCTAGATGATCATTTCAGCTTTCTGACCGAGACAAGCTTTCAGCAATCGATTACGAGAATTATTCTCCGCGGAGGTTGACTGTTTGACACGACAGACATTCATCTCCGCAAATGTTCGTCGCCGACGACACCAATTGAAGGTTGAAGATGGCAGTTGAGTGCGCCCGGGCGTTCCCAACACGAAACAGATGGTTTCCTTTGCCACGACTGTTTCAAATTGTCCATGGACGATCCGCTCTTGTATGTAGAGCGTAGTAGCGTTTTTCGCGAAGTGTTTGATGGAACATATGTCGGTAGTCGTGGTTCTATAACAGTTGCCTAAAATTGCACATTGTCGCAATACTAGCGGATGCCATTCGAGGCCGAACATATCTGGTCGAAAGCCGAGATTTAAATCTATCTTTCCAACCTTCGTGTTCTGCGCGTATCTAGTCCACCCTGAGAAACATCGGCTTAACCGATCCATATCAACGAATTTTGACTTACCCGACCGATATTCTGGACGCGTTTTCGGGTATTTCGTCCGTCATATCCCTTGAGTATGAGATGAACGGATATGGAGAACTCCTCGCCAGAGAAAGAACACTTTCCAAGCTGATCCTATGCGGGCTGATGCGGGCTGGATGTGTCCTATACATTATATGTCCATTGATACATCTGCCCTTGCACCACCTTGGCCGAAGGAGATGTTTACACCATTCAAAATAACATTCTTGGAGTCGAATGACAATGGAGTGACTGTCTATCAGCCTCTGAATCCTTTTCCTGTCGATTATTTCCGATGGGAGATACCTACTTTCTGACAGGGGCACATTCCTTCAAACTTGCCATGCGAAAAGAATGCTATGCTAATAGGGCGTAGCATTCTGCATTTTTATGCTCTGTATTTTCCGGCCACTAGATTTTCCTACGGACACCGCCCCGATAATCTAGACCATGGTGATTCAAGTCGTACGCCATTCTTTAACGCCCATGGCGTGCCGTGTGGTACCATTGTTAAATGCAGGTACGTGTTTTTGTGCTCTGCAAAGGTTTTACGCCGAAGCTCTGGGGTGGGAAACGATATAGTCGATTGGATCAAATTCGAGTTTGACGAGTTCACTCGCGTCCCCTTCTTCCTTCTTTTACATCCCCGTAATGGGCTCTGGGAAAGAGTTGCTCTGAGTATCATCACATGGGAAGCATTTGAGAGCGCGCGGCAAGAGTGGGAGTACATCCTCCTAGCGTAAGCTGATACTTATATGTTCAGAAGGAAGGAAAGCAACCTTAGGCTTTTCAGGCGGTCATATTCATCTGATTAATGAAGTCTCTATGGATCCATGTGACGAATAATGCTATCGAATTTGTATGGGCTCATGTGTGCGAATTATGTGATAGTAACTGCAATAAGCGAACGTCTATTCATGTAATCCTGTCTATGTAATCTATCCATTCTAGCCATTCTATCATAACCCCCTACCATCCGAAAAGGACTTCTAACATCCTCAGTTTAAGTATGTCCTCTGCCATCCCCATAATACCCCTCACTGCATAGAGGCGTAATCCGCCAAGACGGCATCCGCAATCTTCAAGGCCATGGCATAAAAGACCGTCATAACATGGGACGACATTTGCGTAGGGGGAATAGAACCATCGATGACTCGCAGCCCCTGCACACCATACACACGGGCAGCATTGTCGACAACACCGCCCATCTCCTTCGGCATCATGGAGCAAGTGCCCACACCATGGTAGTTAGGGCGGAAGTTGTACGGGATATACTCAACCCAGGCGCTCAAGTCGGCATCATACGCGAGGTTGTCACCGGGAATAGTCTCTCCAGCGAAATAAGTTTGCATGGCACCAGAGTTGGAGATGTTGCGAGCCAGCTGAGTGGCGGCAGCCTGGCCGAGCAGGTCAAGCTCGTTGAGGAAGTACTGAGGGTCGTAGGCGAAATGGCGGAGGTAGGGGTCCTTGTCGAGGATGTGGACGTATCCTCTAGTGAAAGGCAGAAGATCCCACACATCGAAACTGGCCACTCCGGCCGTGTCGAGGAAGAGTTCCGAGTATGCGACATTGTCCTTGACGATCCAGTCGCGGTAGTTCTCGTACTGGATGAGCAAAGCGGTGGTGTTGTGGAATCCGCCACGGGCGACGGCCTCTTCGGCCCACTGCTCTAGCTTGGTGTTGAGCAGCTCGTGGGCCTTTTCGGCGTAGTCGCCAAAGGTCTCGTTGAAGGTAGCGAACCAAGCGGCCTGTCCCTGTCCGGCACCGGCGGAGGTAATGCGTGAGCGGACGGTAGAGGTGGTCTGGTCCTGAAGGTTGAGACCAACGGGCAGGTCAACGACGGTGTCAATTCCAAGAGGCTCTAGAATGGACTTCATTCCGATACCGGAATATTCGAGGATGGTGGGAGAGACAGCGGACCCAGCGGCCAGGAGGACCTCGTGCTTAGCGTAGACGTTGTGGGTGTTGCCCTTGTGGGTGCCGAATTCCACGCCAACGGCACGAGGTGTGGTAGCGTTCTGGCTGAGCAGGACCTTTCCAACATACTGTCCAGTGAGGACTTGCAGGTTGGGACGCTGGTAGTTGGGGAGGAGCCATTCGCGAGCGGCATCAGAGCGCACTTGGTCTTCGTGCAAGGTGTTGGGGAACATGGACACACCATGGGGGTCACCGCATCCCAAGTCCTTCTTGGTGGGAACGCCCCTGTCTTCGACAGCGCTCATGAGAGCCTTGACGATGGGGGAGTAGTCATCACCGGTATCGCGGGGTCCGGCGTGGACAGTACCATTGATACCATGGCAGGATGCATTAAAGTAGTGGCCAGCAGCAATCTGTTTGGCATTTGGTGCGCGAGCACGCTCAGCCTGGAGGGAGTAGGCGGCCACGCTGTCCCAGTTCCAGCCCTCATTTCCGAAGACGGTCTCCCATGAGTCAACTTGTGCCTTGTGGGGGCGAGTCCAGGTGCCACCGTTGACGAGGGTAGAGCCACCGAGACCATTTCCGGAGCGGATCAGCGCAGTCTGATTGTTGGTGGCGAGCTCGACAGTCTCGTAGGCGTGGTCCACACTGCTGCCAAAAATGTCACCGTAAGCGTTCAGGTCCTCAATGATAGGACCTCTGTCAGACTCGTAGGAGCCACTTTCGATGACAAGCACAGTGATATTGGGGTTCTCCGTCAGACGGGCAGCAGTGGTGAGTCCAGTCAGACCTCCACCAGCGATGATGTAGTCGACAGTGCGGCCGGTAACATCCTTGGGGTCAGTCAGGAGGCTGGCTTCAATGCCATTGCTCCTGATGTAGTGTGGGAGGGCTGCAGCGAGGGAGACCACAAGCGAGCTCACAAAAAGAGTTTGCATGATGGGCAGATGAGGGGAGAATGAGAGAGGAAAGGCTGGTTGCTGCTCAGAAGGTGACAGGAGGACCGAACCAGGTTACTTATACGCTCGAGGCAACGGTCCAGAACCAAGTTGTTCGATAATCCGATTCCTCTGCTTTCCAACAAGCCATCCTCATATTGCATATTGATAGGGGCTGTGAGCTGAATCTCATCCTCCGTGTGCTCAGCCGTCGGCATCCCGAACACATTAATCCGAAGCCATTATCCTGGATAGTAAAGGAGCGAATCCTTAGGCAGGTGGGGCGCAGAATTGGCGTCCTGATCCTTTGCCTCTCTCATTCTATAGAGGCTGTGTCCTGCTCGTAGTGCCCAGTTGGCCCCATAATAGCTCACGGCCTAATGCTGACGATAGGCAGCCTCGTGGATGAGGAACTATACGAATCCTAGACGCAAATCATCGTGGCGCCAAGGGCTACCGACTTTCGGCATGCCGAGAACACCGAATTCTAAGTTCTGCCCTTCCCGATTCGTTCTCCGGTCAACCCTCGCCAAGTGCACAAACCATAGGGTCCTCGTCATGCTTTCAATGGAAAGCCTATAGTGTTTGGCATGTTCTCCACGGGGAGAGGGGCAATTGGAGAGTTTATTTGGACAGCCTGCCCACGTGCCAACTCACCACCAAGGTCAAGAAAGGCAGTATCGGTTTCAGGGTGATCAAACTAACCAGTCTTCAGGTACCTGCAGTGTCCCGTGCACAGTATGATCTACGGACCGTCAGCGGGAACCATGGATCGTACTCATAATGCCGGTAGGTGGGCCAAGATGATGTACACGAGAGCATAGCATCCGCGCCCAGAAACGCCGTCGGAAACTAGTAGCCAGCCGAGCGCCAATTAGAGGGTCAGTTGGGGCCATGAAGGAAGGGACTGTCTCAGCGTGGAGACTCTGCTATCCCTGCTTGGCGATAGTGCAAATATTCTTCACGAGGTCTGCAGCCAAGACATAGGCAGCCAGTTCTAGTTAAAACCGGCGCTTATCACTCAGACACTCCCTCGGGTTCTGGAACTCACCTGCTTGCAAATCACCTCGTTTACCAATCCCGCCGTGTCCAGACTCTCTCCTTCAACAAGGTCGTTGACAAATTCCACCACCCAATTCTTCAGCCAGATCAAGTGAACTCCGATCACTTATCAGTGGGCATTGTTCTTGCTGTAGAGATACGAGCTGAATATCCCTGTCACCATGAAATTCAGTGTTGTGCCCCTCCTTTTCGGAGCAACCTCCGCCGTTGCCTCCAGACTTTATGCTGCCTCGTATGCAGGCACCGTGACCACCTTGTCCTTGTCCCAATCATCCAAAGGACAGTATGAGTTGGAAACAGTGGCCCAGTCCACTGACTGTGGTACCAACCCGTCTTGGCTGATGCTGGACCACGACAACCGTGTCCTGTACTGCCTGGACGAAGCTGTTGACTTGGCCAACGGTACCCTGACCTCCTTTGCCATCCGACCTAATGGCACCCTATCCAAGGTGGTACAGCTGGAGACCATCGCCGGCCCGGTCATGTCGCAGTTCTATTCGGCACCGGGAGTGCCACACCGCAAGTTCTTCGCCGTGGCTCATTAGTAGGTCGATCCTCCCATCTCTACCACTACACTATTAACCTCTCATCACAGTGAGGGATCCGCTGTCACCAGCTACTCCCTTGACCCCGTCAGCGGTGTCTTCAACCGCTCCCAAACCTTCACCTACACCTTGCCCGCTCCCGGTCCCGTCGCAGACAGACAGGATGCACCCCACTCCCACGGCGTTGTCGTCGACCCGACAGGACGGTTCGTCCTCGTTCCGGATCTCGGTGCTGACCTGATTCGCATCTTCCTCATCAACCCTTCTACAGGCCTCCTTGAACCCCAAGCTCCCCTCGTAGCAGCACCTGGCTCCGGTCCTCGTCATGGTGTCTTCTGGACACCTGCGGGAACTACCGCCAAGCAGGCCAAGCACGAAGATGTCGTGTTCTACCTGACATCAGAACTGAACAACCACGTCACCGGCTACAAAGTGACGTATCCATCCAACGGAACCATCTCCTTCACGGAACTTTATACCGCCAACTCCTACGGCGGTGCTGTCCCCCCTAATGGGTCCAAGGTCGCTGAAATTGCCATCTCCGTAAGTCCAAACCACACCTACCCCTTACTTGGTTGCAAGGAGCAACTAGCTAACGACTGTCTTCCACATATAGCCCCAAAACAACCGCCTCGTCATCAGCAACCGCGACGACAACACCTTCGGCACCAACAACGATTCCATCGCCGTTTTCAACTGCGCTGACGAGACCGGCAGCCGTCCTACCAACGTCACCTTTGGTGGTCTGTACCCCGCTTACGGGTCGTCGCCGCGCCAGTTTGAGATGTCGGCGCGCAACGAGATGATTGCCGAGGCGTTGCAAAACTCCCATGCGGTGGGTGTGACGAGGTGGAATGGAAAGACTGGAAAGCCGGTGCCGCTTGTTGCCTATAAGTCTCTGGTTGGTGAGGTTGTCTCTGTTGTTTGGGATGAGTAGGCTATGCCATAGGTGGTTAGTAGTTTCGTGCCTGTGGGATAGCTCTTAGTCGGATGTAGTGTTTTGGGGGGTGCTGCGAAGGATCTACTCCTGTCGTTGATTGAATTTCTTTTTTGGTGAATGGGCCAGCAGTGGTCCTGTCGGACTGATTCGAGTAGTAGGAATAAACGACAAGTTAAAGTCATTAAGAGGTATTGTAGCAAAAGAAAGCTCGTTGGCAATCATAACCCATTTCGCGTAATCCTAATGAAATATCTGAACTTGGGGAGGCTGAATTGGAGCTGGTTAGATTATAAGGCAGGGGTATATACAGTAAGGGCATTCTGCCCACGGTCGCCACGAGGTGCGACCTTTATAAGCTTTATAATTTTTCTTCGCACACATTCCATGCGGTCATCGCCAGAATCCACCGGCCACAGCGCGAAATCTTTCTTCTCAAAAGTGTTGCTAGCAAGTCCGACTCCCTATTAATCACCTCAAAGGTGGATGCCACCGAGAATACCACGCTCACTCATCACTCTCCAAAATATCAGCATATCTGTTAAGAGAACTTCCAATCAGATTCACCAATTGCCAGATATAATCAGCCGTAAAAAGCCTGGCCCATAGCCTGGTGACAGTAGCACTGAGACGAGTATTATTCGCAAGTAGCCATTCCCGAGACACTCCATGCTGGGCTTCCATGACCATTTCCAGGACGAACTCAAGTAGTTTGTTTTCTTGTTCTGTCAAACTGGGCTCTGGATTCGGGATCGTGGCCACCTCAAGCCACTTGGCGAGTAGCACAGCACATTCCAGGGAGCATAATGCGTACTGGTTTGACCATGATACGACGAGGGTACGCGCGACGTAGTTGATGCCCAATTTAATGGGCGTACTGAGTGCATGGGCGCAGTGTAACGCAGCTCGAGTGAGACGGTCGCTCCTCTGTACGGATAGGTTATTCTTGAGAGATCGGGCAACCTCATCCGGGTTCCACGTTTCCAGTCGACGGGCGGAGCTGAAATCGGCGTTTAATCGGATATACGCCAGACGGAGGAGGGCAGTAGACGTGAAGGACACAGGACCGTGAGGGTTGAAAGGGTCGATTGAGGATTCTTGGTTGTGCTCCCAGCATTGACACCAGAGTTCCAGAGCTTGCTCTAAGGAAGTAATCACAGACGGGGACAGAAAGCTTCCGTTTGAGACAGGAAGCCTGCTAGCTTTTTGAATTAACCAGATATTCTGGATCATCGCATGGATGAGCACGTATCCCCCTAGGGAAGAGAAACTCTCCAAGTTGGTCTTGGCTGCCCCAGTGTGAGTGAACAACGAATTCATCGCATCTTGTAATTTCGGCTCCCCACGACTCTGACTGCGCTCTTCCAGCCACTGGCTCGCGCTTGTTGCTGTCCATTCTCGCTCAGTGCAGGGTAAGTCCAGCGTCAGCTCCTCGGTTAGTATCAGCGGCGGAATATCAAACACGATCGTGTGAACACTGAAGAAACAAAACACAATAAGCTTTGTCCGTTTGACCATCTCATAGCGGATCCAGCTTTCCCATGACCCATCTTGAGCCGGTAAATCATTGAGTCCTCCTTGTCGAAGAAGAGTCTCCATGAAACTTCGAATATACAACGCTTCGTGATGAGGCGGGTCACGCTCAAACCAACACGAAACAGATATAAGCAGCAATAGCGCCTGTACCGTCTCAATGATATCCTGGCCCCTGGACACCGGGTCCACCGGACCCTCGGTCTGCGGACTTAGACATCCCCATTGCAGGTCCCTTCGGACATGTTCGAGGGTCACAGCCTTGGCCACTTTATAAAGGCTCATGCTGGTTTCGGGTTCCCGGCAGTATTGGGCACCCACGGAAGCCATACCGAAAATTAAATGCAGAGGCAAGGAATCAACGTCGAGGGTGGGTGGATGCATGAATGGATAATGGCAGTGAAAGTTGGTCATATAAGCGCTGATGCATCTGGAAAGGGCATGTCGAGATGGTGTGTAGGGATCCGGGACCACATTTGAGTAACTTGATAATTCGGCGACGATGCGATCACGGCATTGCGCGGTAACAGAAATAGGTGCACTCGGGTCTCGGGTCTTGTAAGGCGTGTGAGCTCCTTCAGGCTGAAGCGACGGTAGTTGTGTTCCATGTCTAGGAAGGATGGAGCTGGAGGGGGTCGTAACCTCGTTACTTGTCTTCGCAACAGGTTGGCTATACTCTGATGCGGAGTCGAAGTGGAACGCGGGGAATAGTGGAAGGGGCTGATAGGTAGGTGAGAATGGATGGCTGGGAAGCGGGATACTGTCGAGGAAGGTCGTGAAATCATCACCGTCGTAAGAGGTTGCCGGTCCGTAACCGACGAACGGCTCACTGAAGCCAGCGGACCCTGGAGGTCCTTGTCCGGATGGATTAGCAGTGGCTATCGGATGGCCCTGCACTGAGGCAGCCAGGCCGGGAGTAAACT